AAAGTGTTAATAATCGTGTCCTCTTTCCAATGAACCAACCCGTTTTGAAAAATAACTTTTAGTTTTTGAGAAAACAATATTAGAAGTTTTGATAAAATTTTCGATGTTGCAATTTTCATCGATAATTTTCAAAATTCGCTATAAAATTCATTTCTTGAAGGATTCTTGTGGAAATATCATCAATTAAACACATCAATAAAAAACTTCTAGTTCCTGTGATATCATACAGAAATGTTATTTAATATGAAACTTACCAGTTCCTAATGGGACGATCGCGCAAGCCGGTGACGAACACTGCGAATCTTGCCCTACATTGTCCAAACACTGTAAAACCCATCCGATCGTCCCGTCACCGCCACAAACCAAAATCTTATAATTCTGGATATTCCGAAACACGTACAATCCGGGCAACGGACCCCCATTATCCAAATCAAATACTTGATAGGGATTCAATAATTTCCTAAAACTGGATATCAACTCGAGACCCTGACAGCCCCCCGATTTCACATTGACGAAAACGAGAAGCGGTTGAACGCCGGTTGGAACCATCGTCGGCTCGATATTGGGCAAGAGCATCACCAGCAGATGTTTGTCTTCGAATTTGGATTCGCGCAGTGCGTAAAGGGCGCGAACCGCCTTATCCGAGTCCTCGTAAGTGATCACCATCGAGCCGTATTCGTAATAAATCGGACCGATTTTTGAAAATTTGTTCTCGCGCCCGAGGAACTCGGTGAGTATGCACTCGTAGTTTCGTTCGGAGAGGTTCGGCGGCAAGTTGCCGACGAACAGTGCCAAATTTGGACCGTGCGGATCTTGTTTCAATTGCAAATAGAAACGCATCAATTCCATTTGGCGGATACTTTCTTGTCCGAGTTGTTTCATTATTTCCCAAGGACGTTCATTCCATGATAAAACTCTTTCCGTTACTCCTCTATCTAATAAAACCTCGCTACAACGATAATCTTCGCATTTAAAATCGACAAGTCCAAATCTTCTTAATGCTTCCTTAATCAAATCTGCTACGGTTGTTGCTACGTCCACGGGCACGGTGCAGAATGCCTGTGAAACTTGTAACTTCCCTGGGTAAACTCTAACCTCTATTGTGTCCGTGTCACCATCCCTAATGAATATAAAGTAATAAATTATTGTTATTAATTTTTTTAATGTACAGGATGTCCCAATTTCGATGTCCGCATAGGCTATCTCCGAAACTAAAAGTGATAGAAAAAAAGTAGCTTACATGTCATGATCTCGTTTTTCGAGAAAATGCTAATGCCGAAAACTCCGAACAGCTATCGTCTTTTGTTTTCGCCCTATCGGCAAAAACTGAAAATTTTGCGAAAACGACAATCGCGAATATCTCACTTATTATCAAAGATGGAGTATTATAAATAAAACATTATATGGGCAACTTTTTACGAAGAATTCAGTGGCGTAGGTAGAATTTTTTTCCCATCTTTTATTTTCGAGATTTTAGACGTAACTTTATTTTTTTAAATGGAAACCATAGTTGGCTATGACTTAAAATAATTTGTTATTTTCTTCTGATAACAAATATATATAGTTTGTGGGGTATATTTCTTATAGTTATTGAATAATTAACAAAAATTCATTTTGTTCCATCTAAATCTAATGTATGTATTTAAAAGTTAATGTTGCTATGGTGATAACCATACATACTATGATGGAATATAATGTATCAATTTTTTTTGTTCTTTCTAAAACTATTGTATGTATTTAAAACTTAATGTTGTTATGGTGATAACCATACCATGAGGGAAAGCATTGTTTCCAATTATTGCCAAAGTTTGTAGCAAGGACAGTAGAATCTAACAGGACTGCTACATCCATTGTATTTTTGTAGTCGACTACGGGTTGGTTGCCCGCACTCTACGTCACACTATTTGCCACGCCTGGTAACTGTCTATGTTTTTAGAGGTTATATGATGGACATTAATACGTCTAAAAACATAAAACTTCAAAACTAATATGAATACGTCTAGGATATAACCTCTAAAAACACACAGCAAACGCATAGACCATAACAACAGCTAGGCGTGGAAAATGGTGTGACGTAGTTTGCGGGTAGGCTGTCACAACAATGGATGTAGCAGTCCTGTTAGATTCTACTGTCCTTGAGTTTGTAGTAGTATTTAAAAATTCACTAACAACTCTGGCATTATGTGCTGGTGCTCCGTCATATTGAAAATATATCATTTGAGACATATTTAGTGGCAAATTGTCGACCAAAGGCTCAATGTGCTGCCTTAATATATTGAGGTATTTCCCTGAGTTTAAGTTTTTATGGTAGATACTATATGCCAAAATTCTATTATCTAAAAGGGCACACCATACATTGAACCCCAATCTTCTTTGAACACTCAGAGACTTCATCGGTCCAGATAACATTTTGAACAAACAGCAGATTATTTAATTTTTTTAAATATCATCTACAAAATTCTAATCTTCGATTGACATCTCCGGCACGTAAATAATGAGTTAGCCCCGCTTTGTATGGTTTATACTTATTTTTCTTTCATATTCGGGAGCAGCGGCTTTTGGGTCAGACGTCTTGTTGCAATTTCTCTTGCAGGTCATTTTGGTATGTTTTTGTATGTGGTTTGGGGAAGGACCAAATATCTATTAAATTTTCTGCTAACCGGCTGAAGGTTCTTACGTGCGGTTGTCTTCTTTCTGGATATCTTGTGAAATAAAATTCCGCGGCTAACGTCGCATTCTTATCTGATAACATATAGCATTCCATCATGTTACATTTTTCATAATTTTCGAAATTCATTGTAAAGTTTTATTCAGTTTTGTTATACTTTGACACTTAACATGCTGGTGCATCGTACCAGCACATAATGCCAGAGTTGTTATCGAATTTTTAAATACAAACTTTGGCAATTATTTGATACATTATGTTCCATCATAGTATGTATGGTTATCACCATAGCAACATTAACTTTTAAATACATACATTAGTTTTAGATAGAACAAAATGAATTTTTGTTAATTATTCAATAACTATAAGAAATATACCCCACAAACTATATATATTTGTTATCAGAAGAAAATAACAAATTATTTTAGGTCATAGCCAACTATGGTTTCCATTTAAAAAAATAAAGTTACGTCTAAAATCTCGAAAATAAAAGATGGGAAAAAAATTCTACCTACGCCACTGAATTCTTCGTAAAAAGTTGCCCATATAATGTTTTATTTATAATACTCCATCTTTGATAATAAGTGAGATATTCGCGATTGTCGTTTTCGCAAAATTTTCAGTTTTTGCCGATAGGGCGAAAACAAAAGACGATAGCTGTTCGGAGTTTTCGGCATTAGCATTTTCTCGAAAAACGAGATCATGACATGTAAGCTACTTTTTTTCTATCTCTTTTAGTTTCGGAGATAGCCTATGCGGACATCGAAATTGGGACACCCTGTACCTATTTAACTTACTTAAATCTGAGAAATATTGCTGGCCTCTTTCCCTCCTTTCTATGCAAGTTCAACACCGGGGTTGGATCTTGCAACCTAACCTCATCGGGTGAGTACAAATCGGTTAGATGGAAAAAGCTTGGGTCCTTGGTGATATGAAACGCCCGTAAAGACACCGTCAAAAGTTGCGTTAAAGTGGCCTGTCTCGAAACGACGATCGTCTGAAAAATCCTTCTTCGCAACGAGCTATTCCCATCGTACACCTTAATCACTTCTTCATCGCGATCCTCTTTCTCCTTGTTTTGTTTGTCGCGGTCCTTCGCTTGACTTGATGGATGTGAGGATTGTTGGTAATCTTCGTTGTCGCGGTACCGGTTGTCTCCGCTGCTAAATTCTTCCGATATACTTCGAGCTAAAAACAAATTAAGTCTCACTTTTCTAGGTTATGCTCGGTATTTAAGATGATATCGTTCCTTAAATACAATTAAAAAAAATCTCAAAATCGTTTAATTGCAAAAATGTGATCCAAATGTCATGTTTTAAATTTTGGTATGCCTTTTTGTATTTAATGAGCAATATGTTAAGATCTTTTAAAAAAGATGGTTAAATTAAAATTGAATCAAGTCAATCAAAAGCACATAGTGTTAATTTTTAAGAAAATAAAAAAAAACGAAAACAAAAATACCTCTAAAGTAACAAGACCCGGGGAGAACGAGTTTAAGACCCTTTGAAAAGGCCCGAGAAGGCCTCTGGGGGCGTTCGACTGCAAAATCATCATGCGCTTGTTATCTTGAAAAACAAAAGAGGAAATCAAGGGGAAGATAAAAGCTATAATGTGCAGCTTTTCGTTCGATTTGATTTGGTTATTTTTTTAATATTAGTTTTGAATTGATAAAATAAACAATCTGGTTTCCTTCGCATAGAGAATGTCTAAAGTCGTTATATCTAAAGTCTTCGAATGGCACAACTAGGGCGACGTGGACACAACAACAACGGTTTAACGTCTGGCCGAAAGGGCCGCTTTTGTCTTTCGGAGCGTATAAATCGATGCCCTCTATTGTGTCAAACGAATAAAGCCGATAAGGAGGACACTATGTGCTATTCATCCTCTCAATTCAAAATCTCTAACTGAGAGAGAGAAGGAAACGTTTCATCAAAATTTATTTTTGATTTGTTTGAGGAAATATACTCACGGGATAATGTGTCTTTTCTTCTTACTTGAACCCCGATTATGGCTTCCATTGGAACTTCCGTTCTTGGTATGCTAACCGCGTGAGGCGGCAAATATATCGGCTCCAAAATACCAAACGTGCAATTTTGGGGAATGCTTAGGTGGCAAACGGCGTGACACTAGAATCCAAAAATAACTCTTATTGAGATAATTTAAGGTAAAGTTAAAGGTGATACTTACGGTAATGCCACACCATTCGCATCTGTAACCGGAAAGACATTCGGACGTCCAACACGTTTTCTTGCATTGTGCGCACTTGGAGTTACTAGGTAAATTGCCTTCTCGCCAGTGGTGTTCGTGGTGGACGTTCGTTATCCTTTTTCCCGGATGATAAGTGGCATTCTCCTTGCAATCAGCCACCGCGAAATCTTGACATTCCGTGTGCACGTAGTATTCACAAACTAAAAATTAAATCAGTTAATAAATATTGTTAATTGTAAAGTTCTTACTTTCGCAATGAATCGATTCGCTGTCATCCAATCGTTTTCTACAAACGTTGCAAAACTTGCGTTTATGATGGAACGTTTCCGACCAACAATGTGCCACTGGGTTCTATATAACGTAATAAATCAACAAATAATTAATAAAAAAATCAAAACATTTATTTTTACCTTTATCAAACAGGCCGCTATGCTCGAACATGGAGACACCACCGTTTTCAAACATCTGTCGTGAACCACAAAGTTACAAACTGAAATAAAAATAATAAGAAAAGTGTTAATTAAGGCAATTATTTTATGGTAAACAACTTTTTAAATATAAAATTTTCATTCAGGCTTGTTTTGGTCACTAAATAAACGTGAATAGGGCATAATTTATTTAATATAGTAGGCAGCAAGATACGCGAGTAAGTAAACAACACCGATCGCAGTAATGATTGAAATCTTTCCGTAAATATTTAATAAATAAAACATCAAGCAGTTTATTTAACTGGGTTTATTGCTACATTGCAAGAAGTAATTGTTGAGTTGAAGTGTGCAAAAAATAGCCGCATAAATATTCGAAGCCTCTAAACCGCTGCTTGTGAGTACAAACAAAAGAAAATACAAACAAAATTGGATTTATCATTGCAAAATGGAGCAAATAAGGTTCACTTGATGCTAAAACCATGTAGACAATACATAAGCAGAAATTCTATACAAAATGATTAAAATTATGAAAAATAGGGGAGTTTCTGAACAAGCCAAAGTTCTCGTTGAACACAACCGTAATGGATTTTACATAAATACAAATGCCATGGAAAAGTAATTATGTAAAAAAATACTGGAGATTTCTTGAATCAGATGGATTATCCGTGCTTTAAATCGAGTTGTGGTTAATAAAATGGTGCCTGGTAGTTGATGACTTAATGAACACCTTAACAAAAAATGGATTCATAATTCGGGGGTATACTGATGACAATCCGAGGTAAATATGACACAATCATAACTCAACTAATGCAGAAAGCCCTAGTCAGTTCAGCATCAATCCAAACAAAGTCGAAATAATCCCTTTCACTCAGAGGAGGAAGCTACGATTGACAACACTCTCCATTGAAAGCAGAACTATTAACCTCAAAACAGAAGTTAAATAACTAGGAGTTTTAAACTCGGAAGAAACTGGGGTCATAAATCACGAATACGTAACAATAATCAGACGACTATGGGTCTGATTATTGCCTATGCCTCACTGGTTTGGTGGACAAAAACAAATCATAAGACAACACAACAACAGCTGGCACAAATCCAGCGGTGAGATCTTGTCCGACGGCTGCTCTTGAAGCCCCACTTGATCTCACACCACTTCATTTATATATACAAAAGAAGGCAGTTTTAAGTGCCTTATCACTGAAAACATGCTGTTCGCTCAAACTGACGCAGGGTAACCTCAAAGGACACGTCTAAATATTCAAGGACCAATGTCTAAATCACTTGATTGTAATTCAAATGGACCTTATACCGACAGAATACAATTTCGACCAGCCGTATAAGGTCATATTTAGAAGCAGGGATGAATGGACGAAGGGTGTACCTCATCTAAAAAGAGAAGCCCTTGCCTGGTACACGGATGCTTCAAGGACAGTTGGAACCAGAGTAGGCGTGGATATTAGTGGAACAAATAGCCGCATTAAATTGCCTCTCAGCTCGGACATCACCATTTTTCAAGTAGAAGTACTTGCTAAAAACTTCTGCACCGCTTTGATCCTACAAAAGGGACAGAAAGGTGCATCCATAAACATTTTCGCATGCAGTTGGGCCACCCTAAAGGCAATTCAGGCATACACGTGTGACTGCGCACGGATCAGTGAGTGTACCAACAACCTGAGAGAACTCACCAGGGGCAATACTTTTACTCTATGGTGGGTTCCAGGTCAGAGCAACATTGAGGGCAAAGGTAGCCTTACGCTGGAAAAGACTTCCAGGTCATAGACAAGCAAAGAGTATGATAACTCCGTCGCAAAACAAAACTAAAGAGGTTTTATGTCTCAGCAAAGGGGATCTAAGGACGCTCTCAGGTTTCCTGAGCAGCCATGCACCCCTAAAATACCACCTCTTCCACATTGGACAAGCTGAGGATCAAACTTGTCGACCTTGCAACGAGTCAAAAATGGCTGAACACTAAATTTTCGATAAAGCTTTTATGACACCTACCGACATAAAGGAACAGGACCTTGGAGCAATACTAAGGTTCATTAAGGACCTACATTTGCCCTAAACTTTTGGAAGGCTAAAGTTACAACAGGTCTTATAGGTCGCGGTGACGTGAGAGGCCGCTCTCCTCAGCCCGGCAGCAATAATAATAATGATTAACAAATACCTGAAAGGGATTTTATTTTAAGAAATAATAATTTTGCCTCGTCCATCTTTTCCTACTACAATCGGCAGAACTTCTCCAGTCAGGCCCCCAACACAGCAATCTTTCTGGAACTACATGTTCTTAAGATCTATAGCTTCCAAGTTAGGCTACAAGAAATGGTCAGTCATCATTAATCTGTATCCTCGTTAGAGAAATTAATACAATATTGTATATATAGCTTTATACAGAAAAATATATATTCAGATTTTGTTCTAATTTTCGAAGAATAAATTTAGCATTATTGAGAAATTCGATTTTAAAATTAATTTTCAAAATAAGGTTGATCCGTTTTTAGGAGTTTCAAATATGTAGCGATGAGGGCTCATCGCAAATACTCTCTACAACTGTGTCCGTAGTCTGGGCGCTATTGATCCAGTGGCCTGCCAAAGCCGAAGCAGGAGCAGCAGCAACAGCCACCTCCGTCCACCACCGCTTTGGACTCTCGGCAAAAGCCACACTCCAAAGACTTGCCGAAAGAGCAGGAAACAAAATATCGGTCAAAACAAACTTTTATTAAATACAGATAAAAACCGAACTTGTATATAATATGTATATATTATACATATATATATATAATTAATTATAAAGCTATATAGAAAATAATAGAATAGAATACTTACTTATAGATGGGAATATCGGGAGAGAGATGAAGGAGTGAGGGGAAAGGAGAGATTTTGGAACACCGTTTAGATAAGAATTGGTTCTGGAATTGGGTCAAACGACGCGGCGCGGAGTGTGGAGTTCCAGTCCTAAGAGGCAGGCGAGGAAGGCAAGCGGACGAACTCCCATATTCGTTCTCTCTCGGCCACACGCTCGTAGCGTTCGCCTCGTTCCCGTTCGCTCCTCTGACGTCATAGCAATGACGTGCGTCCCGATTACGGGAAGCGTACGCGGCAGTTCGCGACGATCGATACCAACGGGATAGGATACCCCACCCACCCACAAAGCGGACTCCAGCGGCGGCGGCAGTTTTCTATCTGTTGCGTTTTTCTTAACATTTCGAGATGGATCTCATCAACAAATATGATACTTTTATATCATAAAATTTTTAATTAAATAATTTTTGCTTATCAGAAAGGAAAATGCGGTTATGGATGTGGTGCATGAAACGATTATATCAAAACCGCAGTTAACTTATCAATGTTCCAGATTATTTTATATATTTTCAATGGTTTATATTGTATTAAATATCCATGTAATTTTTGTATCAACGCTATATCGCAGTATAGTTACAAATAACATGGATGTTTATGATACCACGCATAATTTTCAGTAAAATAACACGTTAAACAGCATAAACTTTCACATACACTTTCATATACACACATCGTTTAAGAAGGCAGGATGGTTCTGGGGCCATTTAAGTAAAAATACTTCTGTGAAATATTCTGAGTTAATCGTCATAAAATTGGACGCAAACTTGATTAAAAAAATCTAACATTGGAGGTAAGACTTTTACTATCTACTTGGATTTCACTAATCTGGTGGAAATTGCTGCAATCATTTAGCATACAAAGAGAAGGCATCGTCATGTTTGTCAACCTGTTTAGACCACAAGCCCATAAACAGGCTGCAGCGGGGCTCTCTTTGCTGTTTTTGTACTAAAGACGATGAAACGGTTAACCAGATCTTGTCTAATAGTACGAAATAAGAAATTAAGCGGCTGATTTATCAGAAGTTGTACTGGAAGGATTCGCAAAAAGTCCGTTGGTGCCGCAGTGTTGTATGCAAGTCACAGATCCAGTTGAGGAGATCAAAACTGAATCTACATCATTTTCTCTATGGTTGCGATGTCCGTGGCAGCCAAATCGTACACAATATAATGTAAATCTCTCATTTATCCTACCACAATTTATTGACAACCTTGACCATTCAATATCATTGGTTAACTTTCTAAGAATTGTCTTTGACACATTTCCATATCGTGGTTTGTCTTTTTCAGAAGCATCTCCAACACTTGTTAACATCGTCTGTAACTTGTCTTAATAACGACCATAACCTTGAGGAACGTTATTGGGAGTTTTATTGAGATTCTGTTCACCTGAGCGGGTAGTCTGATGGCACTGATATGGCAACATGAAGCGCGAATGGTGTTTAAACGGTATCCCAACAAGAAAATGCCCAAAATGGTAAGTGTATACAGTGAAGAAGGTATTGGAAATTAGCAAAGATTAAACTGCGCTTTGTTTGTTATCAACAAAATTTCGTACTCGAAGACACGAATTACAGCCCATACAAAACAATACATATAAAGATCCCAAGCTGTTAAAAACTAAACGTAAAACCTAAAATATATTGCACTTTTTATAGTTTTTTTTTTTGCAACTTCATTAAACAAAGAAATAAATTAAATTGGAAATAAAAACTTTTCGGCCAAATTTGCTCGACGTCGACACAACGCCCTCTATCCGAAATCCATGGAGCACGCGCGCTTCGATGACGATGTCGACGACAACAAAATGGCAGCCAAAGGCGTCGCGACGCCACGCGACCTCAATTCTCGAAATGAAAAAAGCTTAACGCCATGGTTGCGATATGAAGATAAGGAAATGAGCGGGAAATTGAAATTTGTTACCTTCGCATATAAATCCTTGTTGTATCAATCCCCATAGCATGTCGCTGCAGTGATGGCAGTAGGTCGGCTTGTGGAAGGTCTTTTTGCCGAAGGTGTGGCCGTGCTGGGGCGTCGTCGTCGTCGTTTGATGGTGGTGCGATTGTTGTTCGATGGCACCAACCGACGTGACAACCCCATGAGCCGCCATTGTAACGGCGGCTTCCTTCTTCTTATTCTTCGTACCTTCTTCTTTTCCTTCACCACCTTCTTGTGCTTTTCAATCTCTTCCACCTCCTCCTCGTCCTCCTCCTCCACCACTTTTTTTTACCGAGACGATAAAAGAAAAACTATTTTGTATCTTTTGGATGTCAATGGTTTTCTTTATCCTCGTCTCTTTACTTTTGTTGGTTTAGGTTAGAAAGAAACAATTAAAAGAAATCTGACTTGTTATTGTTGTTGATTTTTTAAATGTTGTATTATGTTAGTTATTTAGAAGAGGGTCGCGGTGACGTGACGACAAACCACCATCCTTTTTGCTCGCTCGTTCATCCGCTTTATCACCTCTCTTTTTATCCTTTTTCTCTATGCTATATATGTATTTATGTCTGTGTGTCTCGAAGGGGGCTCCTCCTTTACATAATACAATAACAGTATTATACACGTAAAGTGAGGAAAAGAAAAGACGCTTTTCTCTTCTTATTCCTTTATGTTTATTCCTTTATTTAAAGAGGAGGGCTTTTTTTGTTTCTTTTTCTTTTTTGTTTTTTTTTAAGCTTGTTCACTTTTGCTTACGTGACCTCGGCGGCGTGCATAGTGGTGGCGGTGGCGGCGTCGACGACGTTGGCGGCGGCGGCGTCGGCAGCGCGTCTATTGGTGACGCGGGGCCGCGACATTTCCGAGGGCGACGGCGCGCACGACTACGACGGCATCATCGGCGGCGACTCCTCTGCTCATCGGGGGGCGGCGGCTTCGGCGGCAGCAGCAGTAACGGCGTCTAGGCACGGAACCGACGGCGGCGACGACGACGGCTGCGGCAGCGCGACGCGAGGCCAACGATCGCATCTCAATCACCTTGGAACGAAAAAGCTCCTTCTATTACACTGTGTGAAATCACATCGAGGGGCGCACCGGGGGGCGGCGTGCGACGGCGGCAGCGCTCCGGCGACGACTACTACTAGGGGGGACGTCGAGGCGCCGCCGCCGAACCGACGTCCAGTCTAGGTGGGGGATCAAAGCGCCGACGCACTTGCTACTTCGAACCATCTACTGATCAAAAATTAGGCGTCGCGGCGCAGAAACCCATCTCAATTATTTCAAATTAAAATAAAAAATAACAGAAACATCAACATAAAGATAAAAATATTAATATTATTATATTCATTTCATAAACAATTTATTAGTTAATAATTTAAACAAATCATTAATTTCTTACAGATGGCGCTCATAGCGAAAAAAAATTAAGCCACTCAACTTTCGTTCATCATTAATAGATGTCTCCACCATATTATTGCTTGACGCTTACCAAATAACCTAATAAAAATTTAATCATAAGAAAAAAATGTTGTAATCAGTAATCATGACGAACGGATATTTCGGTAAAAAGTAAGTTAAAACAGAATCAAATAATTCAATAACAATAATTTTTAATTGCAATTAATTTTATGCATAACCTAGAAAACAAGCAAACTACCCACCTCAAGGTGTTCGTTGCCAAAAATGTCTTGAATACGGTCACTGGTCCTACGAATGTAAAGGTAAACGTAAATACTTACACAGATCCTCGCGTACGGAGACTTTAAAGAAGAAAATGAAACTAATTGAAGCAAAAAGTAACCAGGAAAATGTAGAAAGTAATAATAGTAAACCAGATTCTTCTTCGGGTACTTCAGATAATGACTCAGATACCACTAGTAGTTGTAGCAGTAGCAGTAGTGATACCGACGATTCTGAATCTAGTTCTGATAGTGAAGAATACAACTCTAGTTCTACATCTAGTTCGGATTCTGAATAACAAAGAGTTCAATATTTTTATAAATACATTATTTATGATTTAATAATATTAAGTAAGAAAAATAGAACACGATTTTGTATTAATAAAGAGCTTATAATGTAATTTGTTTTAATAATTAACTTTGTAACATAACCTAAAAAAAATTCTTTAGGTAATTATTATTAATCTTTAGTTTCATGAGATGTTTGATGAAAATTATCCTTTGTGCAAAATATTTTATTTCTGCCTTTGACAAGATTATATGTTCTGAAAATGACCATATGAATATTTTGCTGGTACCAGGAATAGACAGATAGTTTGCTTTTTCATGGGATCATTCAATCAATCCAGCTTTTGAGGTGCTGGTCAATGAGGACTGCTATTCGAACCACTTTCACTTTATAGAAACGTCATACATGCACATTATAAGTATTTGAAGTCAGAGTTCATTCAAAACACCACCCAATCCTGTATACAGGTCGCTCATATGTATGGAAACGGAAACAATAAAGACAAATTAAGTATACAGGTCAGACAAAAAGTTATGACGAAACAAAATTACGTTTTCTTTAATGGAACACCTCTGTATATTATTCCATATTTCAATTTATCTCGAAATTCTAAACAAAATTCATGTAACACATCATAGACCTTAACTTAACCGTTTTCCATCCATACATTTTTGACGTTTGTTATGCCAAAACGTTGCTATGGAGGTAAGAAACTTTCAAAGGTACCTTGATAAATTATGAACATAATCGACAAAAACATTTTTGTGTAATAATTTATAAGAGTGATTTTCAAAGTTTAATATCTCGAAAACGGTTAAGTTTAGGTTTACGATGTGCAACATGAATTTGTTTAGAATTTCGAGATGAACCGAAATATGGAATAATATACAGAATGCTCCACTAAAGAAAACACAACTTGGTTTCGTCATAACTTTTTGACTGACCCTGTATACGCTGTATACTTAATTTGTCTTTATTGTAATAGATTTTAAGAAACACTAAAACTTTTATAGATATAGTACACGCCACGAGAGCTGGCAGTAAATCATCGTTTTCCGCTCTTACAAATGCCATACGTAGTTCACAAACCGCTAGAGAGTAATGTGTGTTAGAAAGAGATAGCATTAGTTTAATATGTCTGCTGTACAATTCAAATGGCCACGTCGAAAAAGTACGTCTGTTCTTCTAAGGGCCGGTTGTACCACCTCCCGATAAACTATCTAGCGGATAATTACCATGGTTACAGCGGTTTTAAGCGCTCTCATTGGCTAAGGGCCGGTTGTACAATATACCGATAAATCTACCTGATATCTATCCGCCCGATAAACTTATCAGGAGGATAAAGATATTCGCTGTTGTACAAACTGTTTTTGTCGGTAGGATTGCTATCAGCGAAACAATAGTCGGTTGGTAGTAGTTTTTCCCTATATCTAGTGATTTATGCCGTAGAATGGTAACGCCAACGTCTTTCTTTGAAGTTTGAATTATGACTTTGACAATATAAATTGTTTAAAAAAATTTTCACTGACACATCGTACATATAAGGTTAACGTTTAATGTTAGAGGTTAACCTATGCAGTAATCATACAAAGTTTTTATATAAAAACCTTGGTAACCATAAATATCTGCCGGATAAGTGTCTTATCGGCACCGCTGAGTACCCGATAAGTNTCATTCAATCAATCCAGCTTTTGAGGTGCTGGTCAATGAGGACTGCTATTGGAACCACTTTCACTTTATAGAAACGTCATACATGCACATTATAAGTACGTAAAATCAAAGTTAACATTCAAAACACCACCCAATCCTCTATACAGGTCGCTGATATGCTTATATTATCTCTGCTGATATGTATGGAAACGGAAACAATGAAGACAAATTGAGTATACAGGTCAGTCAAAAAGTTATGACGAAACAAAATTACGTTTTCTTTAATGGAACACCTCTGTATATTATTCCATATTTCAATTTATTTCGAAATTCTAAACAAAATTCATGTAACACATCATAGACCTTAACTTAACCGTTTTCCAGATATTTTCTATCCATACATTTTTGACGTTTGTTATGCCACTACGTTGCTATGGAGGTAAGAAATTTTCAAAGGTACCTTGATGAATTATGAACATAATCGACAAAAATATTTTTGTGTAATAATTCAAGGACAGTAGAATCTAACAGGACTGCTACATCCATTGTTGTGACAACCTGCCCACAAACTACTTCACACCATTTTCCACGCCCAGCTGTTGTTATGGTCTATGCGTTTGCTGTGTGCTTTTAGAGGTTATATCGTAGACGTATTCATATTATTTTTGAAGTTTTATGTTTTTAGACGTATTAATGTCTATCATATAACCTCTAAAAACACAAACAGTTACCAGGCGTGGCAAATACTGTGACGTAGACTGCGGGCAACCAACCCGTAGTGGGCTACAAAAATACAATGGATGTGGCAGTCCTGTTAGATTCTACTGTCCTTGGTAATAATTTATAAGAGCGATTTTCAAAGTTCAATATCTCGAAAACGGTTAAGTTTAGGTTTACGATATGCAACATGAATTTGTTTAGAATTTCGAGATGAACCGAAATATGGAATAATATACAGAATGTTCCACTAAAGAAAACACAACTTGGTTTCGTCATAACTTTTTGACTGACCCTGTATTCGCTGTATACTTAATTTGTCTTTATTGTAATAGATTTTAAAAAACACTAAAACTTTTATAGATATAGTAGACGCCACGAGAGCTGGCAGTAAATCATCGTTTTCCGCTCTTACAAATGCCATACGTAGTTCACAAACTGCTAGAGAGTAATGTGTTAGAAAGAGATAGCATTAGTTTAATATGTCTGCTGTACAATTCAAATGGCCACGTCGAAAAAGTACGTCTGTTCTTCTAAGGCTTGTTACTACCATCTTCTGGTTAAGCTATCTAAGGGATTATTGCTACGGTTACAGCTATTTCACGCTCTGATTGGCTAGTAGATGGGTTTATCTATAAGATAAATTTAACTAAAAGATGGTAGTAATGGACCTAAGGGCCGGTTGTACCACCTCCCGATAAACTGTCTAGCGGATAATTACCATGGTTACAGCGGTTTTAAGCGCTCTCATTGGCTAAGTGCGCCAATTTATCTATCGCATAAACTTATCGGGAGGTGGTACAACCGGCCCTAAGGGATGTAACTCTATAATTATAACCTCAAATCGAAACGTCTTGTCAGCGTTGTCATGAATCTGTTAGTGTTTTCACAAGCCGAAAATGTTTTCTTTGAAAGGAAAATCATTAAATAATATCTTTGACAATGTTTGACATATAACCTCCATTACTAACATAACCTACACTTAAATGTATGTGGTGAAATAATCTAAGTCGTACGTCCATATCTTGATTCATACCATTTTTAAACGTCAAGTCACTGCCAGCTCTCGTGGTTTCTACTATATACAGAGTGATTCACATAAGAACCGACACAGAGCAGGGACATGTATAGGACAATAAATTAAGATGATTTAAAGTAACTTACCTCTATACTAAGTTGTACACCTGAGGAGTTATAGGCCTTCAAAGTTGGCTCTTAAATTTTTAAAAAGTTCAATATCTTCGTAATAAATTAAGCTAGAAGAACCAAATTTGGTATACGTTATGAGTGTACCAAGGGTATTAATTGGTAGCAAATTGAACTCAATTGAGGCATTTCAAAGGGTTGATTAAGGGTAATGGTACCATAAATTTTGACATATTTTTTTAACCTTTTGTCGGATTTAATAATTTACTACTTCATTTCATGTGGAATTTAATTCTAAAACGTTTTTTACTCTTATTATTCTTTAAAAAACATTGCCGTTTTCATAAAAAACTCAAATAACTAAAGACACGTATTTCGTTAATGCTACTTAAAATCATCGAAAATTCAGTAGTCGGCTGTGAAATTGTATGTCAAATTTGACAAATAGGTTATAAAACCTTGTTGTCAAATAACTTTATAACCTATTTGTCAAGTTTGACGTACAATTTCATAGCCGACTACTGTATTTTCGCTTATTTAAGTTTTTTATGAAAACGACAAAGTTTTTTAAAAAATAATAAGAGTAAGGAAAGGTTTAGAATTAAATTCCACATGAAATGAGGTAATAATGCATTAAATTCACCAAAAGGTTAAAAAAATCTGTCAAAATTTAGGGGACCATCACCCTTAATCAACCCTTTGGAATGCCTCAATTGGCCTCAACTTGCTACCAATTAATACCCTCGGTACACTCATAACGTATACCAAATTTGGTTTTTCTAGTTTAATGTATTACGAAGATATTCAATATTTTAAAACTTTAAGACCCAACTTTGAAGGCCTATAACTCCTCAGGGGTACAACTTAGTATAGAGATAAGTTGCGTTAAATTATCTTAATTTATTGTCCTCTACATGTCCTTGCTCTGTGTCGGTTCTTATGTAAATCATCCTGTATAAAAAACGCTGTATTAACATAAAAAAGGGTATATGCTTTGGGTATATGCCTTTTACAGTTTATATATATTAGTTTTTTTGCCCTATCTCTAAAAATAAAGTGGTGGGGAGTGTTTGAAAATGTTTGCAAACAAATGCCAATCAAACAAATGCTAAACTCATTTTAATAATAATAATCCTACCTTATTTCTAGTGATTGTAAGTTGGTGCACCGGCACTTACAATAGATATTGTGAATTTTCTTAGAAAAGTTAAATCTATTGGCATTACTTTCTTTTCATGGAAAAACAGCAAAATGAAGCCCAAACAAGCTAGTGAAAACCGTACCTCCATATCATGTTCCTAACCTAAAATATCGGAGGAAGCAGATTTTATGAAAAAATCCAATGGATTTCGATCAGTTTTTTTAAAAAATTTTCAAGTGCCTTAGTTTAGAAAATACTTCACCTCACTTTTGAGAGCATTCTATTGTTTTTTGGTCCGTTTAGAAGCGAAAATTTGACATATTATCTTGGCCTTCAAAAAATTTGTTTAATACTTCCTTAAATAGTCAAATTGAAAATATGGTGTTTGAAAATATCTCTATACAAATGCCAATAATTTCAAAGTGGCTAAACAGATTTTAATAAACTTGGTGTTTTTCTTGGACTACAATCCTACCTTATTTCTAGTAATTGTAAGTTAGTGCATTGACACTAGAGGGCATTTTTGGATATTACAATAGATATTGTGAATTTTCTTAGAAAAGTTAAATTTATTTCTTTCTTTTCATGAAAAAACAGCAAAATGAAGCCCAAACAAGCTAGTGAAAACCGTATCTCGATATCATGTTCCTAACCTAAAATATCGGTGAAAGAACATTTTATGAGAAAATTCAATGGATTTCTTCGATCACCTTACTTTTGAGAGCATTATTGTTTTTCCATTCCCAGTCCATTTAGAAGCGAAAATTTGGTATATTGACAAAAATAAACATAAAGAAATTATCTCGGCTTTTACAAAATTTGTTTAATGTCTCCTTAAATACTCAAATTGCCGTCCATCACGTTCTATACATTGCTGAAGCCTCTCTTGCGTGGGAAAAACTGCGCCTTAAATTTCTGCTCTTGGTAGGTTGTGAAAGGAATTCCGAATCCTATTTTCCATGTCTTGTCTGATTGTAGATTGAGTTTGAAGCACTATTAACCACCCCCATACATAAATATTCAAACAAGTTGAGTGTGGGAATTTGGCCGGCCATAGAAATAAGATCCTCTTCCAATCCATCGCTTTTAAAACAGTGAGTTTAGATAATAACTCGCATTTATATTAAAATGGGTTGGACAACCGTCCGGTTGTAAGAACAAATTTTGCAAACAAGAAAGAAATCGGTAATTGATGTAATAGTTTTATTGAATTGAATTGCTTATCATGCGCCTTCATACCTTTCTTTTATCATATTCAATTTCCTCCTAGATTAATGTTATTCCAAAAATGACCTCAATATATTATATTAGTTAAGTTAACTTTAGCTCTTAGCCAACAAGAACGCTTAACCACTGTAACCATAATCAAGGGGATGATAAAACTGGGCCTTAGAAAAGTATTTTTTATCGATAAAAAACTTATATTATTTATAAAAACGAACTGAGAATACATATTAAAACACACATAACCTTAAAATTAGATTACAACATCTTAATCCTCCACTAAAGCTTCAGGAACTGTATGAATAATAACCTTCCTTTTTGAATCATACAGAAAATTATTCAACTCAAATATTTTGCTATGATAAAACGGCTTCACATCGTGTATTTCGATTTGTTTCGCTTTTTCAATAAGATCTTTCTCATCGATTTCGATGGTGATTGTATCTGACGCAGCGTTCGTACCTCGAATAAACGTCAGTTGATCTTGGGCGAGTTGACGTAAAATGTAAAAGAGTAATTCGCTGTGATCTTTTTTGAATAATAGGTATCTTTGGAAGAGTTGTCTCATTGATTTCATAACGCTGTATTTTTGCGTTTCAACGAAACTTTCCAACATCATCCTTACGGCCATATTCACATCATCATCTTGGACGTAATCTCTGAGATGCATTCGCGCGTGAGCTTCTGCCATTCTAATTATACTTTCGATGTGGCGCACTGTTATCGGTAATGATCCCGTTGCCTAAAAATTAATAAAATAATTAAAATAAAAATCGAATAAAATAAATTAATACAGACCAAAGATTCTTGTCTTAATTGACTATAAATGTTAGCGACTTTATCTTGATCCATATTTTGTAATTTCGGGTGGATATTTTCTCTGGCATAAACTAAATATTTTTTTAACATTTTCTGCGGGATTGTGTTTTCGTTAATTTCTTCGGTGACGTCGTCTTTATCGACGTTTGAAGGGTGATGTTTTATGTGGGAATTTACGACGAATTTAGCTAAATGTTGGTCTTGAATTGGATCGACTTCATCTCTCACAACGCAAAGTATATCAAATCTCGATAAAATTGGATCTGATAAATTAACATTTTCCGCAAAAGTCATACTGGCATCGTATCTCCCACCGATTGGATTAGCAGCGGCAATAACCGCACATCTAGCTTGCAAACTTGTAACAATTCCCGCTTTTGAAACTGAAATCGATTGCTGCTCCATCGCTTCATGGATTGATGTCCGATCTTGATCGTTCATTTTATCGAATTCATCGATTAAACAAACACCTTGATCGGCTAAAACTAAAGCGCCAGCTTCTAAAGTCCATTCTCGGCTTGTGGGGTTCCTTCGAACGTACGCTGTTAACCCGACCGCACTGGCACCCTGACCGGTTGTAAAAACAGCTCTTGGAGCGATTTTTTCGATAAATTTTAAAAATTGTGATTTCGCCGTTCCGGGATCCCCACAAATTAAAACGTTAATATCACCGCGTACTTTATGTTTTTGCCCTGGATTTTTAGGTTCACCTCCGAATAAGGCTAAAGCTAAACCGCGCTTGATGTAATCATGCCCGAAAATTGAAGGAGCAATTGACGAAACAATTTTTTCCGCTATTCTAGGATCTTTACTCATTTTTATTATGGCGTTTATATCGTCATCGGTTAAGGATTGCACGATTTGTTTGCAATCTTTAACCACCAAATGATTCGCGAAAATTACGGTTGAAAAAACCGGAAATCCATTATCGGTGTTTAATGAGCCATCGTAATTGTTGGTGTAAATTCCGGTTACGTCGACTTCATCTCCTGGTTTGCAACGATCGCATAAATCGGCTAAAAGGATGCAATCTTTTGAACGCGGGACTCTTCCGGCGGGGATTCTACCTGGTGACTCTTGTAATGTGATTTTTTGGTAGTTTCTATAAACGGTTTGTTCCATATTTATCTTCAATTAAAAAAATTAATAGTTATTTATGTACCAAGTCGGCAAAGTGATGCTTTATCGAACGAGTCTGAGTTTGCGAGTCGAGCGAGCGAGGCGAGTAAACAGGCGAGTTCGATAAAGACACTTTGCTGACGTGTTGCATACAACATTTTATCGCCAACCGCAATATTTAACGATATGAAGATATTCTAACTTATAATCTGTTTTTTATTTAAATCAATTGTCATTGCCAAATTTTTATAAAAAAACGGTCTGTACCACCCTAGATACCATGTTCTATGACCACGCTTTATAATATTTTCCACTAAATAATAAGTAAGGTTGTGTATATTCTAAACGAAGTTGTCACTGATTGTCACTTTAAAGACGAAGCCACTAATCTCTCGTCACTTGGCTAATATCTACGTTTTGAAATTAAAACTCGTGAGCAATATATTAAGATAACATAATTAAGTGCTATAATTAAAATTTGAATATTGTTTAAAAATCAGAATTACTGGAAGAATCTGAGTCTTCCGCTAGTTGGATGATGACAGGAGGTAAATCAGTTATTAATGAATTTCCCATTAATGTTGTCCAATCTTTTTTAATTAGTTCTTCACAGTGGCGAACACTATTTGCCCACATCTCCGGAGTGTAATGACCAAGAGCTTTTTGCCAAGTCTCCTTGACACGACAGATCTTTTTCTCCGAGCTGGACTGAACATGTTTATTGTAATAAGTTTTTAAGAACGCCCAACATAGTTCAATGGGATTATATTGGCAATTGTATGGAGGAAGGCGAAGAACAGTATGGCCATGGTCTCTTATTAATTTGTCAATTTCAAAGGATTTTTCAATTTGAGGCTTGTAATAACGGATTATTTCCCATAACGATTTTTTATTTAAGGTTGGTTCAAACTGTATATTATGTTCAGTTAACCATTTTTTCATATCATTTTTTTTTGTGCAGAAACTTGGAGCTTTCTCGATTTGTTTTGAGTGATATGGAGCGTTATCCATTACTACCGCACACTTCGCACCCAAATTATTTAATGCTGGAAGTAATTGATTTTTCACCCATTCCATAAAAATAATTG